ATGTACCATAATTTATGTAGAAATGCTAAATATGTGATATATTGATACTAACCAGAAAGAAACAATATAGCCACATAGCTATTACATTCATTTTGATAACTCAAATTACAAACAAAGAGTCGGTGCCTAAATAGGTGATTTATTTCTACACATATTTTTAAAAATATGTATTTGTAAGAATATATATGTCCTTATCTGAATATAATCTTGAAGTGAGCTTTTATCACATAAAAAGAAGTTTCAGTGTCACAGTTACATACCAAAGACCCACAAGAAACAAATAGTCCCTGGGCAGAAAAAGGTCAAGACCCACATTCTTTGATAAAAAAAGAATCTGAACAAAGTTGACAGCATCTTTGAAAAAAAAAATATGTATGTCTTTGACCTCAAATAGAAGCCCCTCAACCCCAGGGCTCAGTTGTACCTGGGATGTTACATCTAGAAGGAGCAATACAGAGACAACACACTTGCCCACTGTGAGAGAAAAGATGTATGTCCCTTTCTAAGGAAAAGGAAAGACAGAGACAGTAGAGACAGGAAGAAATATAGTTGGGAGACCAGTTAAAACTTGGGAAGCTTGAATGGGAGAAAATATTCTTAGAGCCCTGATTCAAGATTTAGGATGATTTAGGAATTATCCTCGATGTCAGCAGCATTTGTGAAATACCTGGATCCCAAGATTAAAACAGGAATAAAAGTTCTGACTTTTGACTAGGTTCTACCTTGAAAAGAATCTAAACTAGCTGGCTATGGAGGAGAATGGAATAGTAGGAATACATTTTCCTTTTCCCCTATCCTGGGTTTTTAATTCAGTTCTAGGCAAGCAGGGTTAGAAGACCTTTCAGATTTAGGCATAAAATGACCAACTTGAAGAATTATCTACAAGAAACTCTAACAAATCACTCAAGGAAGGGGGAGGGGAAGGGAGAACAGCACAGTTCTAGGCATATTCGATAGAGACCCATCAGTGCAAAAAGTCTTTTTACAAATATGATAAGAATAAATAATAATAATTTTTTAGTTTCTAATCAAGATACTGAACTTGAATGTTTTTATAGATTTTACTGAATTGGGCAACTATTTCTGTATTTGTAAGCTGAGACTCCATGGTGTTTTGTGAAATAATGAAAAATTGCAAAAGATAGGAAATTTGATAAAGAATTATATAATAAGATCTTGCAATCTTTGCTCAGAATTCTCCATTCTTGAATCAGATTGTTCAAGGAAAGGTGACAAATTGATTCTTGAGATCATACAGAATAAATGAAAAACCACAGAAATAATTTTAGAAACAATATTTTTTTTGGTACTTATTACATAGTGAAATAGGGAAATCAGAACCCTTAGGGCTTTGAAGAAATAAAAATATATATTACGATCTTAAAATTTTCTGGTTTCTCAACAGGCCAATACATACAATATTATATGTCTCAAAATTTAAAAATTTAGCTATAGGCTTGTTTTTTTTTTTTGCAGTACGCGGGCCTCTCACTGTTGTGGCCTCTCCCATTGCAGAGCACAGGCTCCGGACGCGCAGGCTCAGCGGCCATGGCTCACGGGCCCAGCCGCTCCGCAGCATGTGGGATCTTCCCAGACCGGGGCACGAACCCGTGTCCCCTGCATCGGCAGGCAGACTCTCAACTACTGCACCACCAGGGAAGCCCTATAGGCTTTCTTTTTACATCAAAATGGTCAGAGCAAGGACACAATGAAAAGTTGAATCAATAGAAGTAACTATCTTTGATGTCAATGCCATGATTTCAGTATCTATCATGGGTCAGTGACAAGAGCTGCAAGATTTTAAAGGCATCCTACCAAAGTTTGAAAACTCAAGATGACATCAGCATATTAACAATACAAAGATTATAGGTATGTTAGAGCAATAAGAAGTTACTATAGCACCTATCTTATCAGTTATAGACAATCTATATCCACAGGGACACTGTTAGAAATCTTCAAATATGTCACCGTTCTAGAGGAGAGGAAAGGAGAGGGGAAGGGAGGGGAGGAGGGGGAGAAGAGGAGAGGAAAAGGGAGGGGAGGAAGGAAGGAAGGGAGGAAAGAAGGAAGGAAGCTAGGAAGGAAGAAAATGACAGAAGAGAAAAAATCCTTCCAAATAAGATAAGCCTGGAAGGACAACATAACAGGCATTTATCCAGGCATATATCACACTAATCCACTCTGTGAAATAAAACACTTAGTTGACAAAAAGAAAATGAAAATTCTCAACTTCTTTGCTTGGTGAAAGGGGACCAAGTCGTCGACTGCCTTGAACGTCCTGTTGGGAAACAAACCATGTGGCATACCACAAAGTTTTCCAAAGTGTGTTACGTGTGTACATGAGATTATTTTTTATAAGGACATGAACACAGTGTGTGTATGTGTATGTGTAATTTTCTGTCTATGGCTGGTGATACTTGATTTTCCACTTCTAATAGGAACTTAGTTTTTTTGGTTTTATATATATTTAATATAAAAAGTGATTCTATTTAAGAAGCAATCAGATCTCCTCTACCAACTCTGTGCAATGAGGTGACTGGCCTTCCTTGATGAACATGAAATTTCAAGAAACTGGGATTTAGAACATGAGAGGAAAAAATAATCACATAGATCACATACAAAGGATCAGAAATCAGAACAGTGTTTGACTTTTCCATAGCAATTCTGCAAACTGGAAAACAATGGAGCAATTCCTTCAAAATTCTGAAGAAAATGATATCCAACCCCAAACTCTGTACCCATCCAACTACCAAACAACTGTGAAGGTAGTAGAATAAATTCCCTCTCAGACACACAAGAGCTCAAAATCTACCAGTTCTTAGGAAGTTACTGCAAGTTGTGCTTGAGCAAATCAAGAAAGAGTTTAAGACACTGATCCGAGAAACAGGAAAGCCAACATAAAAGAGGGAAATCCCAGAATGATGGCAAAGGGAAAAAAATGCATATAGTTCAACCTAGTATATCAGAAGTATATGGCATGGAGAAAGTGTGTGTGTGTGCGTGCGTGCATGCACATGCATGCACATATTAAGAGCTAGAAAGAGGAGTGTGGTAAGAAAATGCTTAAAACTAAAAAAATCAAGAAAATACTACTATATATAAAATATATGACTAATAAGAACCTGCTGTATAGCACAGGGAACTCTACTCAATACTCTGTAATGGCCTATATGGGAAAAGAATCTAAAAACAAAAAAAAAGAGTGTATATATGCATAACTGATTCACTGTGCTGTACACCTGAAACTAACACAACATTGTAAATCAACTATACTCCAATAAAAATTTTTTAAAAAAAGAAAATACACACCGTTTGTGAAGACGCAGAGGTAAATATCAAAATAATAGGTAAACAGAGGCAAAATTAGTTGCCTCTGAGAAGGAGTACAGAGAGGATGAGAACTACTTTTTTTTTTTAAATAACAAACTTGCTGAACTATTTGACTCTTTACACTACTATATACACTATATAAGACCTGTAGTAGACATCTAATGACATATAAATTCAATAAAAAGAAAATGTTTTTTAAAAAGAAAAGAAGGAAGGAAGGCAAAAAGGAAAGGAAGGAGGGAGTAAGAAAAGACACAGAGTCCATGAGAGAGGGCCAGATGCACTTAACACAGACATTTTAAGGTCTCAAGGGGGCACTTTGTGGAGACAGGAAGAGGATCTCCACTGCACTCCTGTTAGAGACAGGCACTCTCAAGGCCATTCTTCTTCCACAAATGAGACAAAAACCAAACCAGAGTGAGCGTAACTGTTCAATATGTGCTTATATTGTTCGATTGTTGAGTTATCTTTTTAAAATTATATATAACACTGTCCCAATAGTTCTCTACTTGCTCTCTGGATGATATGCCATAAACTACCCTTTTCTGAATAATGTTCAGTCTTGAAATTGGTAATGAAATTGGTGATCAGTAATACCAGTGTGTTGTAGAGAACAGAAAGAAGAGTATGCTAAGATTTAATTATAAAAGAAATAATTCTTTCAGATGTCTTTATTTACTCTGAGAGTCAAAGACCCTTCTCCATGATTCTAGCACTCTCCCTGCCCATCCCACTTCTATCTCCTAAGAATATAACCTTGAGTCCCTCTGTCTATAATTTAGGAAAAGTTATTCCCTCTCCCTAATGACTTATTTATAATTGTAAAAGCAACATTTGCTAAACTGTAAAAGCAACATTTTCTCTGATACTGACAAATTACAGGTAAATCTCAAGTCTCAAGATAATGCTTTATGACATGATTATTCTCACATACTTTCTCACCACTCCTTAGAAGAAATGACAGGCCAATGTGTTCACAATCCAAAGGAGGACTATTAACTGGCACAAAATTGCACTATTTTGTCAGTATCTTTCCAAAACAAGCTAAGCGTCCCAAGTATGAATAAGCCCTGTAGTAAACATGTGATGATGAATTCATTCTCTATTTTTTAAATGGGATGAGTCAGATTTTCAGACCTTTAAGATAATTTAATTTTCATTAAACACTATTTATCAGTCACCATAACGCCCAAGCACTTTCCAAAATGTCACAAAGGCAAAATCCCTGCCTGTAAGGTACACACATCCTCTCCTTTATTAAGTACTACTGTGAGCCAATTATATAAAAATATGATTGCCGACATTTCAATACGAAAGAAATAGGAAGATGTGATAAAGAATAAGGAGGGGAGAAGAGGAGAAGAAAACCCAGTTAGGGTGGCCAAGTTAGAAACAAATGCTCTCTTTAGGACTTAAGAGGCTCTTTTGGAATAAGGGTTATAGTTTGAGTATTTATCTTTTTATCCCTACAGCCTAGCACAGAAAGAACGTGGCACACCCAGGAAATGCTCAAGAAACATTTGCTGACTTAATCTAAGAATCGAACGAGGCCTATTTGGGCATCCATTGTGCCAGAAAGTATTATCCGAATCATTTTTTAGACACAGCTATGTTGGAGAGGCAGCACCAGGAAAGGCACAGCATCTTCTCTGGAAACAGCAGTTCCTTACCTGTTGTTGTACTGGTACTTGCTGCACCACCTGTGTAGGCACTGCTGCTTGACTAGCCACAGATGTCTGTAAAGTCACTGTCGAACCTGTGTCCGACCCGGTCTCTGATGTCTGCATGATGGTCTCTGAAATTTATTAAAATAGAAAGAAAGTTTAAAATGCTCTCCTTATATGACTAGCTGCATTACATTTGTTCTTAATATCCTATACTGAGACGAACTTTCCACTCCCAGAATACCTCTTACTCCACCCAACATACTCATGATATTCCACGCATGTTTAGAGTCATGTTGCCCACTTTTAAAATAAATACAGAAAATTACTAATCTACATTTTAAAAATCTCCATTAGTACCTCTTATTTTGAGGCTATAAAGGTTGAACTTCATTGAAATCTACCTTCCTTAGGCCTCATCTGTTATAAATTGTCTCAAGCACAATATAAACTAGTCATATTATAAATTATGTCAAGACACAATTCTCAGAACACAATCCTAACTGGATGCAAATACGTCATAAACTGTACTTTCTAGACACTTTTATAAACTACAGGACGTCACTGGAGGTGTACAATTTAGAATAAATTGTTTCTAAGGTCCTTTCCAACTTTCAAACTTACTATTCACTGATTTTTAAAAATTAATGTATATCCAAAAACCAGCTGATATACCCTAAATTTAGCCAAAGGATCAAGCTCACTAATTTTCTTGGCTGTGAGATGATATGGTACTAAAATTAAAGTTTAATTATACTCTACCCAAAGACAGCCAAACAGCAATAATGTTTAATATTTTGAAAGGTAAGAAGGATCACTATTGTATAAGTGAGATTTGTAAACAAAGACATGAAATTTTACCTTCTCTCATTCACAGTTCAACATGGTACATTTTTCAGTTCTCATGTGCCTGTCCTACTAACACACGATTAAATTTTACAGTGTGCACTCTAACAAGTATGGTTTCTTAGACCTTGATATTCCCTTTTGTTACTTATGCAGTCAATATAATAAATGTTAATTTCTTTGCTACTGAGCAGGGATCCTGGGGGGGGGGAAACAATATTTAATTGGTAGCCTAAGAAAACTACTGTATCATGGTTTAAATCTGTGAACAGTATGGTGAACATTAATTTTCCCTAAGAAAATTCTGAAAGAGTATTCAGGTCTTTCAAGCAGAAAATTAACCCCTCTCAACATCTTTTGTCACAGCATGACCTCTTCCAATTTTTTCCCCAAACCTTTTCTATCATCTCATTCAATTTTAGAAACAGACCTCTGAAGATATCTAATCTACACTTATTTCATAAATGAGAAAACTAAAGCCCAGAGAGGTTAAGAGACTCACTCAAGGTGACAGGACTAGAGAAAGGACTAGGCCTTTTCAATCTATGCTTTCTTTACTTTCTAGACCTTGACATTGGTATCACTTTACGTGATTGACTATTCTTATTCCTTTGTTAGTCAAACCCCTAAAGCAGCACAATAAAACTTAGAGCATACAAAATATACAGCAGTAAAGCTAACATGGATAGAGTATTTAACACATGCTATGTCCTCTTCTAAATGCTTTACGTGTTAATTCATAAATAAATCACTCCATGTAACAACCCAATGTGGTCTGTATGATTATAATCTACATTTACAGATGAGGAACCTCAGGCAGAAAGACTGAAGGTAGCTAGGGGCTTAAAAAACAAGGAAAGTGATGGAGACTGTGGCTATCACCCCACTTATTTGGGCCAGCTAATGTTTAGTTCAAGGAAATTGTTAATTTATGGGAAGGCTAAACTATAGCTGCCAGTTTTTCCAATTTTCCAAAAGAAGATTTTTATGTGAAATCTCTCAAGATGGTGGCTAATTAATAAAAAATGTAGCACTGATCTCCAAAGATACACACACACACACACACACACACAAACACACACAGCCCTTTGTACTAGTATTAAGACCACGGATATGCCTGAAAATGTTTGAAAATGACAGTATTCACTATATAAAATTCTTGCCTAATTAAGATTACTGGAGGACTAACAGTTCTCGAAATTGGGAGAGGGGATACACACAATAGGAACCCTATCTGTGCCTCTTCTTCTTTATTCCATTGTAGAGGGAAAAAACTACCCTCCCCCAAAAGAAAGCAAATGCCAGTGTCCTTCGATTCATTACATGTTATGCTTGACAATTGATGCCATTTGTGCTACAGCAGAGGGCTATTAGTGAGAATGAGGTGATGCCTTTCTGCAGGGAATGAGGACCAAACCAGATTTTAGATATCATCTTCAGTGAGTTTTTCTTAGCTTCTCTTCCCAACTCCAAGACAGGCCTTTGTCAGTTTAGTACACAAATGAGGAACACAGAGTTGCCAATTATGGGTTCTTGTTTAAGCTGTTCAGTCAAGGGGTGGATGAGATTCTTACAGTTAAGTCACTCAAACTAAAACACCCTCCTGTTTATCCCAGGGTTGGCTGAGAACTTTATCGAGGCTCTCTCGTGTGTCCAGGGGTCTGTACTGCAGACCAGCCTACACACCTTTTTTGGTATATGACCCATAATATGACATCCACTGTTTTAGACCAAATACACATAAGAATACACATAATGAATGTCTAAAAAATTAAATGTACTTTTAAAGCAATTCCTCAATAAATCATCCGAGAGGGCTTATCTGAAGATAAAAGGCATAGATTTGGAAACTGGCTTCCTATGGACCATATTAGACTCGATCGATAGGCTTTGGCACAGAGTAACTACAAATTAAAATTCTTAATCGTCAACCTTTAAAAATCGAAGATTTTGTGTTAAAAACCAAATTTCCAGATTCTTGTGAAAAATCTGAAAATCTAGAAAAGGTGAGCCCATATTATGTGTTTTATACACAAATTATTTAGATGACAATACATATTCACTGGCTTGGCCTTTATAGGCATTTGAGGCATAAGAGCAATACCTAAGCTTTGACTACTTTACTAATAGAAACGTGTAACTAGATGATCGGAACTAAGATCTTCCTCATTTTACAGATTGTCAACTGAGGCCCAGAGATGTTAAGTCGCTTAACCAAGGTCAAACTATGGGAAATAGGAAAGTGGGAAAAGAGGGTTTGGACATAACACTAAAGCGCATGCACTAAACTACCAGACGAAAGTCTTGAGTTTCATCAGAGATACTGAATAGACAGACGTGAAGGGAGTAAAGAAAAGCAAACTGGTGAACTTTTAGCATCAGAAAGGAGGAAAAAGATCCCAACTATTTAATAGGAGCAACCTTTACAGAATAGAGTGGGGAAAAGCAGATGGATAGAAAATGATGGCTTATATAACTTAGAGAGTCACAGAGAATTTTCCATCCAACCTCTGGCTCTATGTACATACCACATTAAAACCAGCACAGAAAGCCTAATCCAGAACAACCAACAATTGTCACAGAACAACTTGTTTAGTTCCAAGTTACTGCTCATCATCCAATCTCCTTGGCCCCTGGATTACAGGGTCATGCCAAATGGGATAAGAACGTAGCCTCTCAGTTTGGTCTCCATCTTTCCTTAATAGACACAACTTCCTTCTCCTCTTATTTCATTGTCTTCCTCAGGTTTGAAGTAAAGGCTCTCTTTGCCTAGGCCTCAGGCCTTGAGAGGATCTCAATCACATGCCTGCCAGAGACTGGCTAAAAAGTCATAACCAAAAAAAAAGTCATAACCATAATTAGGTCTCTCATTTAACAAGTCTTTTCCAGGTGCCACACAATATGCTAAGTGCTTGAAATATATCTTTTCATTTAATCCTCAAAAAAAAACCATAATGGAAATGTTGTTATTTCCACTTAACGAATGAGGAAACTGAAGCACAAACGGATTAAGTAACTTGCTAAAAGCCACACAGATGGTAAGAGTAAGAGCCTAAATTCAAATCCAGGTTTGCCTGACTCTAAAGCCCATGATGTTACCACTATGTATATTACTTTGCAAAATCATGATGAAAGGCTTCCAAATGGAAAGCTAGAGATTGTTGGCCTGAACAGCAAATCTTTGGGATTCTCAATCTATCCTATTTGATCTACACTTCGAATAACAACAGTGAGACAGACATCTCTTCTCTCTCTGACATTGAAATTAGCAAGTATTCTCTCTCTTTCTACTGAGGCCATAATAAAACCCAACTAGTAAGTATTTTTTCCAGAGGCATTTTAACTGATTAATTCCAAAGACCTGATTAATAGCAGATCAATTTGAATGTTAAAGCATGTTGAGGAGTGTAACCTTCCTGCCAAATTTTCCTAAACAGATCATTTAAACCCACTGACACATTTAGAGTATTCTGGTAGCTTTCCAAAATTTCTTCAAAGCAGGGATCATCACATGAGGGCAGTGTCTTAGCATGCTTCATTTGTAGGTTTTGTTTTAGATCCAGTATAAAGGTTTGTGTGTACATGTGGGGTGTTCCCATTCATCTAGCAGTGGTTTCTGGTGCTTTGTTTATGTTTGGGAGTAATCTGGTTAGTTTAGTTCCTTCACAGCCTCCTTTCAAGTGATATTTGTTTATCAGCCACAAATGCAGTCACATTAATCCATTTTGGTAAGCTAAATAAACCCCTGCAGTTTGTCCATGATGCAACCTATATGTAAATGAGTTGTATATTCTTGCAGGAGAGACATGCACGATTTCAGTCTAGTCATCCTTGCCTAATGTGGCTGTCAGGTATGTCAAGAGCAACAGATGCTTGTTTGACAAAGGACCTTTTTATTCTGGCTAATTAAGCAGTTGGACACACCCGCCTGTTAACGGTTCTGCTTTGTATAGCCAGCTCTGGCTGGCTGAATCATGCGAATCTACAGCTAAATAGGCCACGTTTTGAAAGAAGGCTAATTAACCCCTAGAAGAAGGAAAAGAATATTGCAAAAACCCAGCTGCTGAATGCAAAAAGATTACCGTTTCTTCAACCTGATGGGCAAAACCTAGGCAAAGCAAATGTGTTTGGAACAAACATGCACTATTGCAAGTTTCAAGGCATTCAAATGTTCTTTGTGAAACTTCCTGAAGATTATTTAATACACTCAAATTCACAGCTGGATTCCTTTCATCACACACTGTACATGCCAGATTAAATGCTTAAATAGTCTGACCTAATCAAT